GTACTCATCATGAATTGATGCTCAAAAGTACTTACCGTACTGTTCTGTGCCAACAGAAAACAATAGCAAATATCTCGTCTCCTCGCAGGTCATCGTTAATGAATGAACTCAAAAACGTTTGAAGCTTCTTTTTTTGAGATTTCGCTGTACGAGAAAGCATTAGTTCAGTAGGACAAGCTGGTGCATATTTGTTGTAATATACATCCCCATAATTGACCCAAAAAGATAGAGGGATGACACCATATATACATTACTATAAAGCATCAGATACAGCAGAGTTTTGCGCTCATATAGTTGATTTAAAGAGGACATTTCATGGAGATTACTCACAGATTTCATTCAAAGCGAAAATCCATATTTTTTTTTGCAATATCAATTCGAGTCAGGTGGTGTAAAGTATATCCTCATTAGAATGTGACATACACTTCTGTCTCTCCATCCACTTTCTTACTTAATGTAAATGGGCAACTCAGAATCGATGTCGATGAAAATCACTTTTAAGTTTTCAGGTGTCGCGTAGCCTTCTTAGTTTGGCGAACCGTGAAACCGCTGACGCTTATCGACAGAGGGTAGTTTCGTTTTCGTATAACCCTGAATACTTTCTCAGGAGAAAAGTTTTGCAGAGTCTTTTTGCTTTTTCAAAGTTGGCTGCGGTTTGCAGCGAAAAGATTCCTGAGGATGTCATGGAAGAGTCTAATAGGAAATTGGTGTTGCTGAAGCACCAGTCATCTATACCAGAATCAGTGATCAAGGTTTGCATCTGAGTCTGAAAATTAACCTAAGCTGATCAAACACTGCTAACTTCAGGCAGTATATCCGGATAATCCAAAGCGACCGCTCACTATCACCGAAATGGTGGAATTAAACATGCTCGATCCAGACATTATAGAGGGCCACAAAAGGTTGGTTCTTTATTACTGATTCACAACTCCAGATTTAAGACAATACTTCTGATCCAGGTTTATGCACCCCATTTTCATAAATGTGTAACCGAGATTTTAGGGCTTGTTATTATCGTAAGATCAGCAGTGAAGGAAA